CTTTGATGGACGCTGCAAGGACGATGCTTTGTGATTCCAAGTTACCGGTCTTCTTCTGGGCTGAAGCCATCAATACCGCATGCTATGTTCAGAACCGTGTTCTAGTCAACAAATCACAGATGAAAACCCTGTATGATATTCTATACAATCAAAAGCCGTCGGTTGCTCACTTCAGAATCTTTGGATGTCCTTGCACCCTTCTTCACCTCGAATCCACCCCCAAGTTCAACTCAAAGGCCGATGACTGCTATTTTGTGGGATATGTCGCACGCACTGCTTACCAGGTGTACAACAAAACCACCAAGACGACTGTGGAATCCTTTGATGTGCGTTGGATGGAATAGAATGAGACGGATGCGCGAGTCGGACCCGATTGGTTGTTTGATTATGCATCAATGTTTAAATCCTTTAATGTGTATTCGGAAAATGTTTCAGGTTCTAGCTCTCGTACAAGTGTTGTTGTTGAAGATGAAGAGGAAGATGTTGTATACAGACCACCCCTAGTGACTCTTATGTCTCCTTTAGTGGATGAAGCTGCTCCAAGTACTTCCCCGGTCTCACCAAGTCAAAGAATCAATTCTGATGCTGAAGCTACTCCACTTTCACCTGCAGAAAGAGAATTCATGACAAGAGATTCTTCCGCTGCCACTCCATCGTTTATGGAGCTTCTCTTTCCTGAACCTATTTCAAACGAATACGTGGCAAGTACTTCTCACGGTCCTAGATTGTCTGAGGCAAGTGATTCAACAGAAGACGGATTCATCAACATCACCAACCTTCATGTCTCAATCAATGACATCGGCCAGGAAATCCCTACCAGAATTCAACGCGATCATCCGATCGAAAAAGTCATCGTTCCACTGGCCGACGGAGTTAAAACGAGAAGTCAAAGTGGAGATGCAATTCATGTCTCTACTCTTGCTTCATATCTCAGATCGAGCCCAAGAGTGTCACCATGGCTTTAAACGAACCAAGCTGGGTAGATGCGATGCATGAAGAACTAAATCTGTTTGAAAATTTGGGAGTGTGGAAGTTGGTTGAGCTACCAAAAGGCAAGAAGTCATTGGACACGCGTTGGGTTTTCAGAAATAAGCAAGATGATTGTGGGGTTATTCTGCGAAATAAAGCTCGATTTGTCGTTCGCGGATTCAGGCAGATAGAGGGTCTTGATTACACAGAAGTATATGCTCTGGTAGCTCTTTTGGAAGCCATTCGTATATTCCTAGCATATGCATCATACATGGGCTTTACAGTTTATCAAATGGATGTCAAGACATCATTCTTGTACGGAGTTGTAAAGGAGGAAATTTATGTTGATCAACCTCCATGGTTTGTAAATCCAAAGTTTCCAAATGATGTTTACAAGCTGGACAAGGCTCTATATGGGTTACATCAGGCTCCTCGAGTTTGGTATGCTACCCTCACTGATCATTTGCTTGAGCACTGATATACAAGGGGAATGATCGATCAGACCTTATTCATCAAGAATGTGGATGCAGATTTGATCATTGTACAGATCTACGTTGATGATATAGTTTTCGGGTCGACAAGCACAGAGTTATGCAAAGAGTTCGAGGATGTTATGAAGAAAAGATTTGAGATGAGCTCGTTGGGTGAGATGACCATGTTCCTAGGGCTACAAGTTCAACAGGATTCAACCGGAATCTTATTACATCAAGGAAAATATGTCGAAGAAATGCTTAAAAAGTTTGGATTTAAAGACTCAAAAATTGCTTTGACTCCAATGGCAGAAAGACCATTGTTGAATCCAGATCCAGATGGGGAATCCGTAGATCAAACAAAATATCGATCGATCGTCGGATCTCTGATGTATCTGACTGCCATCAGACCCAACATCATGTTTTTCGTCTGTCAATGTGCTCGTAATCAGGCTAACCCTAAACTTTCTCATTTAATTGTTGTTAAAAGGATTTTTAGATATCTTAAGGGTACCCCTAAACTGGGTCTTTGGTATCCTAAAAATTCTGATTTCGATTTATATGCATTTGCTGACAGCAATTATGGAGGATGTGATCTTGACAGGAAATCAACATCCGGTGGGTGCCAATTTTTAGGAGATCGGTTGGTGTCATGGCAATGTAAGAAATAACAAACTGTGTCAACCTCAACGGCTGAGGTTGAATACGTTGCTGCCTCAGCTTGTTGCTCTCAAGTTATCTGGACTCAACATCAACTGCAGGATTATGGTTTGAATTTTCTTGACACTCCCATTTTTTGTGATAATGATGTCGCCATCCAAATTGCTAAAAATCCAGTCCAACATTCCAAACCCAAGCACATCGACATCAAAGTTCATTTTATCCAGGACTGTTATGAGCGCTTGCTCATTCGTTTGGAACAGATTCACACTGATAATAATGTGGCAGATCTGTTTACCAAACCTTTCAGTAAAGCTCGATTCGATGTTCTTGTGGGCTTTCTTAAAATGATTCGTTTTGAAGACTAATTTTTGTTTTAGTTAGTTTAAATTTGCGCATTTTATTTCTATTCTCTCCTATGCAAAAATTTAGGGGGAGAAAAAAAAACATAAAAAATTATAAAACAAAAATCCAAAAACATGTTCTTATGGTGTTTCGGTTGTAGGTGATCATTTGGGAAGTGATATTAATAAAGAGTGATAACGGGCAGCTGAAACAAGTGTAAAGTACTGAATCTGAATTGTTTAGACTTTGTGCTCAATACGCTGGTAGGCACTAAGGATTCAAAAGGACTAAACTAGACGTAGTTTGACAATGAAAGGACTTGACATTATGGACTTAGATAGTTCTATTTGGTCTGACAATACGATGCTTGGGTAGGTTGAGCAGTGAGATAAACATGGGAACCTGCGGGATACACTAAAAGTCAAATGTATCTAGAATTGTGGCTTAACATTTCCTCGATGTATGGATTCACGTCCTTAATTCCGATACTGATAGGGTGTCTGGGGGGTTCTGATAAAGTAGATCTGTAGGAAATTATTTTCTTGCTTTCTTTCTGTCAGTCATATGTTGCCTCCTCTGCGTGATTGGAAGAAATCCGACCTGGACTGCAACATATGCAACTCTATTTCTATGCATCTTCTTATCTATACAATTTTTTCTATGTGTTAGCCATATGTTGTCTCCTCTACTTGATTGGAAGAGATCCGACCTGGAACACAACATATGTAACATTCTACCTCTAAATCCCTCTATCTGTGTCAGTCACATGTTGTCCCCTCTGCGTGATTGGAAGAGATCCGACCTGGGGCACAACATATACATTTCTATATCTGAATTCCCTCTTAATGATTGTCTACTCACCTAAAGTAATGAGTTCTTTGGAAATTCTTGATTATTGGGGTATATCGAGAAGCGGGAAACCTGTTCTGGTACACTTAAAATTGAACCATTTAAAAGGTTGTCTGTAGATCTCGCTGCTGAATTTAAGTGGACAACAATATCCTTGATCGTCGTCAGCTAAATGGACCATTTAGGACTTTAGGAGCAATGTCTTGTCATTTATTTTTGTCAAAATTGTCAAAAATCCTTCGTGTTTAAGTGGACCACAATACCGACGATTGACCAGATCTACTCATGATGGTGAAGGTACTAAAAAACAAGTTAAGACTGTGTCAAAACTTATGATCCCAAAAATGTTAAAATTCTTAATTTTGAAGAGTAGTTAGTGTTAATTTTATTTTTATTTTTTTTATTTGCTAAAATTAAAATTTGGTTTGCTTTTAAAATTTTCAGATTTTATTTTTATTTTTAAGTCTTCAAAATGTTTCATTTTTAGTTTTAAAAAATGGATTTTTGGTGTTGGACTTAATTTTTTGGTGTAAGCCCATCGGATTCTGAGTTATGGGCCGGAAATGTGATTAGGGTATAAAAGGGGTTGAATTTTCGGCCAATAACCCCATTATCTTGTTTCCAGCCGTAAACTCGTGTTTCCTCTCATTCTCTATCTCTCATGCTCATTTGCGTTTTCTATCAAAATCAATCTCATCGATTCATTAATTTTGAGTGTTTAATCAAAATTGCACCCTGATTCTTAATTGTAAGTGATTTGCGACTTCCATACAACTGATTCTCACTTGATTTGATCAAGTTTTGCAGGTTTCTGGAGCAAAAATCGCGATTCTGACGGTGTTTTACGTAAAAAATGGAAAAGTAATCATTTTCGGCCGAAAACCCGTTTGCGGTCAAAAACTCGTTTGCGGCCGAAAACCCGTGTATGGTCGAAAATACGTTTTCGTCCGAAAACCCTTTAATCAACTTAATTTTGACTAAGTTTAAACCAAATTGAGGCCTAATTGACTTTGGTTGACCAAAATCAACTCTAGGTAACTGAAATCAATGTTTTGAGAAAATTGATTTTAATTGTTTAATTCTTTTGATTTTCTCACTTGGCTCGTTTGATGCAGACAAATGGCTGGAATGAAGTTTTCTGAAAATCACAACATTGCGGCATGCTTGTCTGATCCACCTCAAGCTCATCAAGAATTTAAGTCCATGGTTCATGGACTTAACAACTGTAGACTTACTCACGCTTTTCAATCAAATCCCATCATTTATAAGGAGTTAGTGAATGATTTCTGGGATAAAGCTTCCATCAACTAAGAAGGAGCAAATGGAGAAGGCACCGTGGAATCAATTATCCAAGGGAGAAAAATCATTATTTCTGAACAAACTATCTGAGAAGTGCTTCTTTTTGGGGATCAGCCAGGATCCCCAATCGAAATTATTGTTGATCAAATCAAGGAGGTTCGTGATAGAATGGGCTATGAAGGAACATTTCCTCCAACCATAAAGAAGCTACTTCCTCCATACTGGCGCTTTCTTGCCCATTCTTTTGTTATATGCATCTCTGGAAGGAAAGGTGGAGCTGATGAGATCTCTCTATCATCTACTGGTGCCATTGTTGCTCTGATCATGGACTTGGATTTCAATTTCTCAAAGCTTGTATTAAATGAGATGAAGAACAATTCATAGTGGAAGAAGAAGGACGTATTTTTAATGTACCCAAGGTTTGTTCAAATGATCTTTGATGATCAATATCCAGAATTGGAAAGAAAAGGTGATACTTTAGATTTGAAGTCCTTGGGTCCAACTACTTTTGGATTGATGAAGCAAAACCGAAAGGGTTCAAAAGTTGTGTTTAAGGGAACGAGTCATTTGGTAAAGTTTGGGAGATTTGCGGAGTTAGAAGAAGCTTCTGAACCAGAAGATGTTTCAGATGATGATGATGATGGTGTTACTGTTTCTGAGCCTGAACATGAGATTGTTCCTCCTGTGGCAATTTTTGCAGAGGAACATGTGCCTGTGGTTAATGTGGTTGATGATTATGATGATGATGTTGATAATGATGATGATGATGATGAAGGAATTGGGATGGATGAAGGGGTAATGCACCATGTGTCAATGATGAAGATTTCGCGTTTGACTTCGAGCCAAGTGATGACGATTTCCGTTCGTTCTTTGATTTTGATGATGTTAATGAAGTTGTGAGTGCTCCAACAGAGACTGAGGGAGACTCTAATATTCTCAAGTTGTCGTCTCAATCAACCGCACAAATGGATGAATTCATTGCTCAACTGCACTCAACTGCGAGGATTCCTCCCCGATCAGTTGTTACTCTAATCATTACTCCATCGGATCGTGATCTTGGTGAAACTCAAGCCTCTCATCCACCTTTGAAATGAAGACGTGTTGATCCCAGGCCGAGAGTGTTTGTAAGGGAACAAGTTCAACAACCTATCACAACCACCGAAACATCCCAACCAATTCAAATCGAGAGTCCAATTTTAGACGAGGGGCCCAGTTATGTTCATTCTTCCTTTGAAGCAGGGAGCTCGTCAGCCCCTGGTGGCTCCTCTGCCCCCCCCCCCAACCTGCGCACGATGCCGCCTCCGAACGGATTGCCAGGTTTTTGGCTCGAGAAGGTGTTGATCCTGCGCCCAGGAGCAAAAGAATATCGATTGATGCAGGAAGCCCTGATAAACAAGATTCAACGATTTTCGAGCTCAAGGAAGAAATCGGGATCTTAAATCAGAAGCTTATTGAGAAGGACGTTTTTATTGGAAGTTTGGAACTCTAGACATTAGAGTTTCGGAGCTCGAAAAGGAAAACTCTCAAAAGTCAAAACAAATTTCCAACAATCTTGGCGCTCTCACTGTCGAATACTTTGATATGAAAAACAAGCTAATTAGTGAATTTGGCGACAAATTCAAAACATCCGTCAATGAAGCCGAGGCATCCCAAAGTGCTCCTGCCCAAGCAACTCAAGATCCACAAGATGTTCCTCAACATGCCAGTACGACTCGTATTGTTGATCGTTTTGACGTTGAACCTGCTCATGCTGATCCTAGAGTAATTTTGAAGAGAGCTCAGAGACAAGCCAAAGCTCAAAGAAAAGGGAAATTGCTTTTCATGACGAATTCTGATCAAAACGTTCGTGGAGATCAGCCCTAACTAAGTGTCACTGAGCTCGGCAAAAAGAGGTTCAAATCAAAGTACGGAGATCGGTCGGGATTAAGGTTTGGGGTTTTCATGATCGAAAGAATATCTGGGTGGTCAAAAGGAAAAGTGGCAATGCAGAGTACTATGCTCACATAAATGACTTCAGTTCTTGGACTAAAGTTGATCTCACAGAACTGGTTAGTGCTTCTTTTTACAACCCTTCGAACGATCCTCGTGGGACTGATTTCAAGCTTTTCCTAGAAAATCAAGTAAATAGGAAGTTTGATGTGATGAAGACCGCAGATTCTTTTGTGAATAAATTCACAGGCGTATTTGATCCTTCAACCAACTGAACTGTAAAAAATGTGATGTGGCCTCCCACTAAGCATATGCAACAAATTCCTATTATTCAGCAGTTTCCTGATGACTCGCTACATAATATGGAATATTGGGTTTTTGATGAGGCCACAGCCACTGCTGTCATCAAACTCTCGACTAGAAATATTCGTCTTGTTGAAGCAAAGGATCTTCTTCAGTTCGGTGAGCGTGATATCCGTACTTTGGCAAGGCATCAAATCATGGTTAAAGATGATATCTTGGAGGTTGCCGCAAAAGAATTCATTGGCATGGTTGGTGAGATCATCAGCAAGCGTATGTGGTCAGGTGCTATGGGATACTCGGATGTTTTGATCGTTGACAAGCCTTGATTTCATGCTAGCAACAAAACAAGGGGGAGACTGTTAGAACCTATTTTGTTGGTTTGTGCTAGGCATATATGTTTTATAGGCTTTATTACTCATTGTTTGGGCTTTTAGAGGGCTTTCGATTGGTTGGACCGAAAATGTTCCGTTTTCGTTCCCTTGGTTGTTTTCGGTTGTAAACTTGTTGTCCTTTGTGCTCCCTATAAATAGTGTCCTAGATTGCTAGATCCAAGTAAGCGTTTTAGGTCAGATAGATCCTTTGTACCAGACGATTGATTGAATAGAAGATCGTGTGCATTTGGATTGATTCCGTGCTTCCATCTTGATCTAATTTGCTTGATTCATCATTTAATTTGTTGTTGATCACTAGTTGGTTCTTTATTTGGGACTTACAGTTTACTTTTGTAATGAAATTAAAAATATTTTGGACAAAAATAGTCTTAAAGTGATTTAACAAGTGAATTTGTATAATAATGCTCAAGATACTAAAAAATGTACCAAGATACCATAAAGTATCTTGATAATTTCGACGATGAAAACAAGTTAATAATCAAGAAAATAATAAAATAAATGGATGTCGATCAAATAACAGTGAGTAAATCGAAATAAGTGCAAGAACATAGATAATTATGATGAAAGCCCTTAATCCTTTTGGATCTCCGACATAAAACATCAGGAAGTAATGAAATAAAATGCCGTAGAACCTTTCTTAAATCGAAATAAAATTATAGATGCTAGCAGATCTTAGAGATGATGTAAGGGTGCTCAAGTGTCGAGAGAATCAGAAAGAAAATAGCACTCAAAGAGAGAGAGAGAGAGAGAGAGAGAGAGAGAGAGAGAGAGTGTGTGTGTGTGTGTGTGTGAATGTCGACCAATTAGTCTTTCTATACATAACAATAATAACTAAAATTCTGAGATTCTTTGGATCTTCCTTGATCCATGCTTGACCCGACTTTTACAATGGTCTTCAACATTCATGAGGTATTGACCATGTGAGTTTTGACCCAGTCTATTTCTTTCTTGTCAAGTTCTAAGTTTCTATACAAGATACCACAAAAAACACGATGACAATCCAAGATATTGATTAATTCCAAGATCTTTAGCTTATCTGGAATGTTAATACAAATTTAAGCTATAGAAATAATAAGGTAAAAAATTCTACCCATAACAATCATGTTAAAATTTTTGCTATTAAGTAGTATAATGGTTGAATTTGAAAAACAATAAATATTGTTATCTTATATTCTTAAAAATAAAATTTTATTAGTAAGTAATACAAATGTTGAATTCAAAAAACAATAAATATTATTATCTTATAAAAATGTGTAACTATATTTATGCGATTCGTTTGGCTTTTCTTTATAACATTATTTATTTTTTAGTTTTTTTTTTAATATTTTTTGGTCGAATTGTAAATTTAATTATTTTTTGTTTTGGCCTCTTGAAAAAGCTATATATGTAAGATATACTTATTTTGAATTTTAGTAGAGTATTTTTAGTTTCGAAGCACGATTATTAATTTATGAACGGTTAATAGGATAACCGGATAACCAAACCAAAAAACAGGTTAATCGAAAACTAATTAATCAGTTTTTCGGTATAGGTTTAGGTTTAAGAAACTAATGAACATATCACTTCGGTTAACCTTCCGAAATATGATTTCGTTTCGCTTAACCATCATTGAACACCCTTAACGAACACATAGGATGTTTTCTATGATCATTACCTTAGAAAAAACTTGTTGGTGGAATGTAGGGTATGTGTGGCGCGACATAATTCGGTTAAGACCTAACGCCGATGAGGTGGTTTTTTCGCGTGCATAAATATGGTTTATATGTGGCTTTAATTATTTATCGATTCCAATATGTTTTATGTTATATATAATTGCATGCAAATGTTATTTGGATTTGCTTATCAACTGTGTGACTTATTGAAATACACATTTTGTGGGAATAGATGGGGTGGTTAATAGTCGAGAGCATGACGAATGTGTGTGATCGGCATAGATGAAATTTGAGAATTACTAATTTCCTTGGATATTTTAAATGGATTAGTTGTGCCAAGGGGGAGGGGAACGAACATTTTGTTCATTCTCGGGATAATTTATCTCTCTTAAATTGTGTCATCGAGTGATATGTACTACTATGATTTGTATTGGAAATGTGAGATAAATGTATTTGTTTTTTTAAGTGACAGACATATATGCAATATGAAATCACTAGGCCCTATGTTTACCCAGTTAGAATTTAAAATGTATGCAACCAATGAAACTATTTACCAAGTGACAGCAGAAAGGCCAATGAGAATGATTAATCAAGAAGACGATAAATGAGTTTCGTAATAACATAACACCCGAAGCTTTTCAGTTGAATACCTTATTTTATTTTTATTGATTTCACTGTAATTTAGACAATAAAGTGCTAGAATTGATCTGTCGGAGATATTGAGATAATTATATTTTGATATTTTTTTATATCTAAATTAAGGTGTTACATATGATTTTGAAGGTTTTTGGGCATCTTTGAGTTCTTATGACATATACGAAAATGGGTTTTGCCAAATCACCCACTGCGGCATCCATTATTTGCGTTCTCATGGTTACCGTTGATTGAAGTATTTCGAGATTGGAATTCATGACATCTATGGATGAATGCTTACAACCTTCATCACTTAAGCCATAAGATGGTGGTTAAATAATGACATGATAATCTTATCAATTAAAATATATAAAAATAAATTAGGTCATTCAAATTAGTAATACAAATATATACAAGATAGAAGAAAGGAAAAGGGAACAAAATAACATGTGAATATGTGACGACACTTGTTTTTTGAGGTAATGGAACCACTTTTATTAAACTAAGAGTCGTTTCTAATAATTATGTTCCCTCCAATTCTTTTTATATTTTCAATTCTCTGAATCTATACAAATTTAACATGATACTCTTAATTCAAAGAACCAAACGTGTCTATTTCCTTTTTTATTTTACGTGAATAAGATCATTTAAAGTGATACTTTATAACGGTCACTGATTTATTATCGTAGTTTAATATAGAAACATCCGAATTAATATGCATCCTCTTAATTATAATCATAGGAATCTAATTTGTTTGTTTGTTTGGTTATTTACTTAAGTAATATACAGATGTGACATTTTTATTTATGTTTTTAGTTAAACAAAATTTAGAACAAACATTTTTCAGACTTTTGTACCGTTTATTTTTATTGAATAGATAATTATGATGAAAAGATATAAAAACCAAAACATATTTTTTAAAAGCATGTTCGTCAAAACCAGTTAAAATCTAGAAATGATTATCTTTTGTTTATATATGATTGTTTTGCAAAACAAAATGTAGTTTTTTGTTTGTATAAGATTTTTTGTAAAAGTAAGCTTTTGAAATGTAAAGTAAGCTTTTGAAATGTATAAACTTAACAAAAAAAACTATATAAATAGTAAAATTGAAATATAATAAATAAAAAGTGATTGTCTAAACTAATATTTTTAAATATTCTATAACTATTTTAATTATTTCAGAGT